CAGAAGTGGTGAAGACAACAAAGAGCTATGGGGTGACATGGCTCCCCGAACATTCCCGAACATTTCTTAAATCACCCATAGCTCTTTGTTGTCTCCACCACTTTCTGAAACCAATAGTCCGTTATAACCCTATCGGAATAACGTATCCAATTCATTATCCCATTAGAGTTTCTGACTACGTTTCAGGGGGCTGAGTGTAATTATCGATACCACAGCGACCTTACAGTTATTTAAGCATACCTCAGGGGTGTGTGTGTAATTTACCCTTGAAATAATGTATCAAATGCATTATCCCATTAGAGTTTCTATCCATATTTCAGGGGTGAGTGTAACTATCGATACCACAAGGATCTTATAGTTATTTTAACATACTCTAGGGGTGTGGATGTAATTTACCCAACAATATATGTATCATATGTGTGTGCTGTGTGTGTGTAATTTCACACAGTTGAGTTGGCTCCAACTTTTGCTCCACAAAATTAAATGAGTGAGGAAGGTGGTTGAAGGTGATTAATAACACCATCTTAACTCTCTCTTCCCACAGTTCCACCCCCACCGTTTTCCACCTGCCAACCAAGTTCTCTTCTTTTCTACTCATTATTATTCAATTTTTTTTTTAATTATTATTCAATTTTCCTTAATAAATTTGTTAACATGTACATTTATATATAACATTTATTATTATATTACCCACGTTAAACAGTGGAAAAAAACATTACAAACTATTTCTCCATATATGACAGCAATTAATCTGTAATCACCATGTATGGGTACACTAATTTATTTTACAGAAATATAGGTCAAATTAATATATCGATAATTTGTTTTTATTTTTTATCTCAATTTCACCCCCATATTTCTCCAATGTCTCATTTTAGTCCATTTTGCATCTCATCACATCATTTTAGTCCATTTTATAATAGAATATTTGCTAGCAAGAACGGTTTGGTTGGTTAGATGTTACACCAGGTCATCTACATTGGGTGATTTAACAATTGATGATGTTAAATAATCATCCACTAAGTACACACACATACACATGTGTATATGCTCGATTATGTGCAGATCAATGGTTAAAAACACCCAATGTAGTTTATCAGGTGTAGCATCAAATAAGCTTTGGTAGAGTAAGGTGATGATTACCTAATTAGATGAACAAGTAAAGTTTGACGTCTAACGATCTACATTCAATTCACTTTGCCAAACACGTTTTTTACATGAATTTTGCCTAGTACTGCTATATCACTTTCGAGTGGTTTTGTGAACTATTGTAGAAGCTAAGAGAGCGGAATTTACCTCGCACATGTATAGATATGAATTAATTTTTTCCAAAAAAAAAAGCTAATACAATTAAATCTCTATAAATTAATACAGTTGGTATCAGTCAAATTCTATTAATTTAGTGAAATATTAATTTAACGAAATATTTTTTAGCACGTTGCCTTCAAGTCTGGACCTATAAAACATGTTATTTAAACGAGGTTATTAATTTATCGAAGTTCTTATGTATAATCTTTTTAAATGCGGATGAGATTTTCCTTTATTTAAGTTATTTTTATAATGAATTTTTTTTACACACAATTAAACCTCTATAAATTAATACAGCTGTCGGGATCAGGGAAATTCTATTAATTTAGCGAATTATTAAATTATCGAGTTAATAATTTAACGTGTTTTCACCGAGTCGGGACCATGAGAAACTATTATTTAATCGAGGTTCTACTGTATAGGATGATATAACTCCCTCATATCAATATTATAAGATATTCATGAATGAAAGAAAATAAAGATAAGTATAGGACCTTATATTAAATAATAAAAAATATAAAAAATTGGCTTTACCTCACTTGACTCTACTGCCAGGTTCTTGAACCTAAGCATTAAACACACCCCCCGCTGTTTTTATTTCAGTTGAGAAATTTTCAATATAGCTTTAATTGATCCCACCTGTAAATTCAAGCTCTTATCTGTTCTTATACACAAACACCTCTCTCTCAGTTCTCACATCAAACACCTTCTCTGCATCAATGGATTCTCTCTCTCCGTACTACCACCTTTTCTTCACCGCACTCGCATTCCTCGTCTCCGGCTTAATCTTCTTCTTCACCCGCAATTCCGCCGCCAAGAAGCTCAACCTCCCGCCGGGACCGCCTGGGCCGCCGGTGGTCGGGAATCTTTTCCAGGTGGCGCGTTCCGGGAAGCCCTTTTTCCAGTACGTTCGTGAGCTGATTCCGATCTACGGCCCGATTTTGACTCTGAAAATGGGGACGAGGACTATGATTATCATCAGCAGCGCTGATTTGGCGAAGGAGGCGTTGATCGAGAAGGGCCAGGTTTTCGCGAGCCGGCCGAGGGAGAATCCGACGAGGACGATCTTCAGCTGCGACAAGTTCACCGTGAACGCCGCCCTCTACGGCCCCGTGTGGCGGTCTTTGCGCCGGAACATGGTGCAGAACATGCTCAGCTCGGCTCGGCTCCGGGAATTCCGCGCCGCGCGTGAGGTGGCGATGGACAAGCTCGTGGACCGGCTCAAGTCCGAGGCGGCCGCCAACGGCGGCCTCGTCTGGGTGCTCCGGAACGCCAGGTTCGCCGTGTTCTGTATCCTTTTAGCAATGTGCTTCGGCGTCGAAATGGACGAACAAATGATCGAAAAAGTCGACCAGATGATGAAGTCGGTACTCATGGTTCTCGATCCGAGGTTGGATGATTATTTGCCAATTTTAAGCCCACTCTTCTCCAAACAATGGAAAAGAGTACAACAAGTTAGAAACCAGCAAATTGAAACCCTGGTGCCTTTAATCGAGAGGCGGCGGAGCGCCGTCCAGAATCCAGGCTCGGACAAATCCGCCGCCTCGTTCTCCTACCTCGACACGCTCTTCGATCTCAAAATCGAAGGGCGAAAGTCTTCCCCATCAAACGCGGAAATCGTCACCCTGTGCTCGGAATTCCTTAACGGGGGCACCGACACCACCGCCACCGCCATCGAGTGGGCGGCGGCGAGGATGATCGAGAACCCGGAAATCCAGGCCCGCCTCCACGACGAGATCCGGACCGCCGTCGGTGATAAGAGAGTCGACGAGAAAGATGTGGAGAAACTGCCGTACCTAAACGCCGTCGTAAAGGAGCTCCTACGCAGGCACCCGCCAACTTACTTTTCCCTGACCCACGCGGTAACCGAACCCGCTAAATTAGCGGGTTACGATATCCCAACGGGCGCCAATGTGGAGTTTTTCCTACCCGGAATTTCGGATGACCCGAAATTGTGGACCGACCCGGAGAAATTCGACCCGGACCGGTTCTTCTTGGGCCGGGAGGATGCGGATATAACCGGGGTTAGGGAGGTGAAAATGATTCCCTTCGGGATCGGGCGGAGGATTTGCCCCGGGTTGAACATGGCTACGGTGCACGTGAATCTGATTTTGGCCCGGATGGTTCAAGAATTCGAGTGGTCGGGTTACCCGGATAGTGGGAAAGTGGATCTTACTGAGAAGCTTGAGTTCACTGTTGTGATGAAGAATAGCCTGAGAGCCAAGATCAAGCCAAGGGCATAATGGGGATTTGTTTGGGTTTGCCTACATGGTTAGTTTTGTAGGTTGTCTAGAAAAAAATATTTTTCTTTGATTTTACTTTTTACCTCAAGGATGTTATCTTTTTTCTTGCTTGGTTTATTTTTTCTTACTTTTGTTTTTGTTTTTATTTTTTTGTTGTTGCTTCATTTATTTGTTTTGTTCATCTATAGATTGTTTTTTGGGTTAATTTGAGTCAATTATTTATTTTGTGTGTTTAGCATTTGTGGCTAAATCAACAACCACACATCAAATAAAAATTTTAGATTTTTCTTGTATTAGGTTTACATCTTGCGCGCCTATTACCTGATAAATAAGTAAGTTTGTACATTTGTGTTTACAGTGGATGGAGTACATATAGGGGTGGTAAACGAGCTGAGTCGTGACCTCGATGAGCGAGTTTGAGGTTTCTGACAAATCAAGCTCGAGCCTAACTTCATTTTGGAATTTTTTTCTACTATTTATTTTTAATAATTAAAATTTATTTATATTGTAATAAAAATATTACAAAATATATAATGAAGGATTCACAAGAAATTCTTCATAAGAACAAAGAGAAAATTATGCCAGATAACTAGATCCACCAAATTGGAAGGAGGGTTCATCCAGATTGTGCCAAAAATAGAATTCGAACACTATAATATGCACTAAAAAAACTATATCAATCAATGTCAAGGATGAAGTATGTGCACAAAAAGACATAACTAGGAGCGTTTACTCCGCCGGTAAACAAACCGGATTGAATTGAACTGAAAATTAGGTACGTGTTAAATAGCGACTCAAAAATTCAGTTTGGTACTTGGTAAAGATTTTTTGGAAGAATTCCGGTACACGGTATAGTATATGGTATTGACGTATGCTATACCATGCGGTACCGAATGCTGTAATATTTAATAATTTTTTTTTATATTTTTTTTGTTTAAATTCTTTAAGGTTGTAAACAAATTACAAAAATAGGAAAATGAGAGATAACCCCCTAGTTTTGAAAATATATATGTGTAGGTCCAATGATTTTTTCTTTCTTAGACAAAAACCCAATTTTGGAACTTAATTTGTTAGACCCCTGGATTTAAGTGACATGACCAATTTACCCTTAGTGGCAGCTTAAAACCCTTTATTATTCAAATTACTGTAAATTTGTCCTTTTCTTTTCTTCTTTATAAAAAATGCGCAGATTGTTATGGAGTAGGCAAATTCAATTTTGACTGGTAACTTTACTATATGTATTTTCTTTGTACTACCTGTTTGTGAATTATGAGTTTGATTTTGCTTGTACTCAGTGCCACAATTGCTTTTCCAAAATTGTTTTTTTTTTTTTTTTTTTTTTTTTTTTTTTTTTTATGTTTGGTAATGTTAAAATTAGGCTTGTTTATGGCAGATTTTTGCAATTTATGTTCTTTTTCTCTAACTCGTATTTTTTTCCTAGAGAATTGTTGTTTTTGCTACTTCTAATACAGTAAGGAATGATGGGGAGAAGTGCGCTATGAAGTCAAACTCATTCAAAGTATAGAAGACCACTATAGATTACTATAGTCATATTATATAGTAACATATACTAACATGTGATTATTTCTGGATTATGTAGATTTTTTTAATATAGAGTGATGATGATGATTTGTTTTGTTGTTGAAGAATATATGCATGTGATTGTGTATATCTATATTTATACAAGTTGATATATAATATCAAGATTTAAATTGTGATTTTTTGTTGTTGGTGTCGATGAAGTATTGTTTTTGTATATAATCAACGGTCAACGTAATCGATCGACTGTATATATAACTGTAAATGACTATATATAATTTTGGGGTAAAAAGAAGGTACATGCCTATACATAACTTCAGAGTAAAAAGAAGATATATGAGTATATAAAAATATACGTTACTGTGGTATACTATAGTCATGTGTAGTCAATTTCGGTACAGTAAATTTTAAAAAAATTGAAAAAATTAAAAAATTAAGAAATAAAAAATTAAAAAAATTTAAAAATCAAAAAAATTAAAAATTTAAAAATTTAATTTTTTTAAAAATAATAAAATAATAAAAGGTTAAAAAATAAAACTAATACGGATATATATAAAAAATAATAATAAAATAAACATTTATATTTTTTATTAAAAAAATCTATAAAAATGATAAATGCAGGTAAAAAATACTAAATGCAGTTGGCAATAATGTTGAATGAGGTAGAAATACTAGAATGTAGTTGGATGAAAATTGCACATAAGGGCACAATAGTACTTTTTCCTCTCCAGGGGTGTATCTCAAAGGAATATTTTAGGAGTGGGGCTAGCCCTATATATTTTCCATATGAGGGGTGCATATCAAATTGACCCTAAAAAAATTACTTTTAAATTGATTATTTTTTCCATCATTACAAATTAGCCTGTATAGTAATCATTTTTATTACTAGGGCCGGGTATTGACATTTGAATATCAAAATCAAGAATTAATTAAAATATATATTTTTTAACAATTTTTGAATATTAAAATATATTTTTGTATTTACTGGTAACGAACTGAAAAATCAAATTAATTCGATAAAAAATTGTACCGAACCAAAATAATTCAGTTCGGTTAACAATACTGTTGAATGACCGCCTCAATCAAAATGTAAAGTTGTTAGTGAAATGTATTATCAAATACTAATATCTCCAATGTAACTATAATCAGTTTTTCTTACATTTATTTATATAGACATGTTTTAAGGAAATATTTCATATTTTAGAACTCCTTGATTCGTGCAAGATTCGATTGTGGTTGCCGCGTGGAATCTCACACCTTCCTCTAGCAATTTACGGAGAAGATCCACAATCCAAGTCTCGCAACGGTCTTCAGATCAGCTCGCCACCCACTGCACCTCCTTTTTCCTTATCTAAGGCATACGGGGGACATATGGCGAACTCTCCTTGCCTTTTGCATTGAGACTTATATTATTGAACTCTAACAAGGGGAGCTCCAGTCGTATTGAGCGAGCTCTTGGGTTTTCTTAGTTCTTCGCAGTTTTCGGCCCAATAACTCCAATTATTGAGAGTACGGCCCAATGGTGCGTAATTGTCCTTCATCACCTCATTCAACTTTTCGGAATCCATTGGGCTTTCGGCCCACTAACTCAGTATGAGAAGTTCGGTCCAATGGTGCCGAACTCCAATCCACTTGAGCTAACATTATTGTCAAAGGATTTTCGGCGAGATCAAGCTCCGACGACTTAATGTGTTATGAAGTACAAATCTACATAATAAGACGAAGATGACATACACTAGGCCAAGAGATTTTGATGAATAGATTCATCCAAATAATTACATAATTTCAACCAAATAAGATCAATAGATTATTGGTGTGTGTTCAAAATAATAAGTTTCAAACCCTTCAATTGAAATATTATATATCAATCCAAATCCACATATTTATCATATCCCTTTAAACATGCAATAACTATTCAACACTAAGTTTCAAACTGAACTAACAAAACTGCCCAACTATATATAACACTAATGTCATATTTACCGAAAGCCCAAAAGCGGAACAAACATGTACGTAAAATCAAGTAGTAACTTTTCCGAAGAGAGCTCATCTCCCCGATTGGCTCTCGACTTTTCTATTCGCCGAATCTTTGAAAATCCGATTGTGCTCGGTCGAGGCAGAGTTGCCATCTCTAACAATTACATTAACCGTGTCTCCCTCGGGGCGGCATTGGCCCGCGTGTGTCGAGCCCGGCCCTAGGTTGCAGTTGTTGTGAGATCCAGACGGATGCCTATGGGTGTTTGCCATGCAATGACAGTAACGCGCGTTTGCTGATTGGACGGTGTACTGAGATCGAACGGCTGAGCTGAACATTGGCTGCATGAACCACTTCCTCTCGGAAAGTTCGCGAAGTGAGATTCGACAAACGGGGCATGTTGAGTGCTGCTGAAGCCATATGTCGATACAGGTGGCGTGAAATGAGTGGCCGCATGGTGGCAGTATACGTAATGTGTCCTCTTCGTGGTATTCGGACAGGCAGACGGTGCACCTGTGAGATGTGATGATAATAATAATAATTCGGAGTTAGCATCGGTTCTTGTTGTAAGGAAATATTACGAATTAAAAAGAAAAAAAAAAAAACAGAGGATGCAAAAGGAAATAATTAGCAAGATCGAGTAGCGTCAATTACAAGAAATTGGTTTTATATATGTAAATCAGTGTAAGTAGCTACTTAAGTTTTCTGGGATTATATTCGACGGGCGAGCTTTTCTTGAATTGTAAATTCACATCGATTGTTTTTTTTTTTTTTACAGAATGTGACAAGATTAGCCTGATAATTATGCAGATAAATTTACCGACACGGAGTAACAAATTCATCTATCGGGCTACAACAATCTGTTCATGATTTATATTTCTAATAATAATAATAATTACCATAAAAATTCCGAGAGATTAACTTACTGGACATTTTCTTTTGATGACAAGCACAATTCTCGGAACTTCTTCGTCGGAAAATTGGCAACCACAACCGGCTCAAGACCATGTATGCCCCTCTCCAACTGTTTCAAAAACACGGTGACGGCTTAAAATTCGGACAAAAGAGTTCGATTTATATATACATATAATAGAAGTACAATTCTCAAGTGTCGTAATTGAAAGGTTGAATAACTAAGTATATGATTGGAGTAGGACAAAAAAAAAAAAAAAATGTAATAGTACGATTCTTGATTTCGGTTGCTACTAATCTAATACAAGTTGGGCTTTTTCGACGGTCATAACGAAGCGACAAGAGTTTGTCATATACCATAAATATGAAGAAATAACTGTCTAATTCACCATATAGATATAACTAAAAACTACCTAAATTGCAATAAAACATAGGATCATATAGAAAAACAGATATTGCAACATATTAAAAAAGCAATGAAAAAAAATAAAAAAAATAAAAGGGAATTTGCTTACAATGTTAAGATCAGATCCAGGTGACCTGGCAAAGGAGCGGCGCGTGGCATTCAGATGAATTCTTGCACAGATAAGCCTTGTGCACACAAACACTATAAACAGAGTACTCACTGTAAATCCAATCACTGTCATCACCAAATTTATGCCTGCAGATATCATTTTTTTTTCTTCTTTTCTTGATGATGTTAGTCCACAATATTCGAAAATCCCGATTCTGTCCTTTCTTGATTTCTTGATTGTGTAGTGTACTCTACTGAATTTATGATCAAACAGTAAAAATACTGAATCTTTAACCCTTGTTACAGGTAAATATCTCTCTTACAAACTCAAACTTTGTATCATGTTCTAAACCCTCGAAATAGCTGTCAAGCTTTATATACATAACTCTCTCTCTCTCTCTCCTCTCTCTCTCTCTCTCTCTACTTGTGTTTGTGTATTTATAGACCTTACAATTATGAGAAAGAAAAGACAAGTGGTTATGGTGGAAGAGAATCCATGGTGGAATTGGGCTAAGGCAAAAATCTAGGTAGCCCAATATAGGAAAAACCAGGAAAATGAAAGACTGAGAAAAGTGAAAATGAGATGAGAGAGAGAGGAGAGAGAGATAGAGAGAGATTTAAAGGGTGTCCATTATCATTGGAAGTTTCAAGCAAGAGAGAGAGAGATAGAGAGATTAGTGGGAATGTAAAAGTAAAGTTTAAGAAAAAATAAAACTTAATTTCATAATAAAGAAAGAAAAGGGCATAGAAAACAAAGAAAATAAGACAAGAGGGTAATAAATAATAAAATTCATGTAGTCTCATGACATTTTCTGTTGGTGATTAATTGATGTTGATGGTCATTAACCATAAAAAGAAAAACTTTATTTATTTATTTTATACCTATTTTTGTATTCTTGAAAAAAATAAAAAATAATAACAGAGGCAAGGGTGATGTTGAATGTGATTTGGACATTTTTGCCCTTCTTATTTATCCCATCTTCTTGATTGTGCGCATTGTCAGTGCTATTTATAGAATTTAGCACCACTTGGTTTTCAGCCTTATTCAAATATATTTTTTTTTATTTTATTTAAATAAAAATTTTCATAAAAATCTTTACATATTAAAATGGACCTTCAGCAGGTTTGTTCATGGATCGGGTCGGGTTGGTTCATTGTCGGCCCGACCCGACGAACCAACTCTTTTAAATATGTAAAACCATCATTGGCCCGACTATTGTAAGTCGAGTAATGATTTTATGTTATTCCTTGATAAAGTTCAGCAACTAATCTAATATTTTATGCCCAAAATAAAGTTTCAACGATTTTAAATATTACAAATTAAAATTTCATAAACAATAAAAAAATACTAAAAAAACATTCACTTTCATCCATTCACATTTTCATAATAAAAAATGCTGAAATTCCCAATTTTAATTTGAGAAACTAAAAAACCCGTAAGTTTGTAAATGGAGAAAATGAAGAGTAGGATTTTTTTGGTTCTGTACTTCTATTCATTTCAGCGAAATGTCAAAAAATCAATATTGAAATTGAATAGTCAGTCAAAACACAATATATATATATATATATATATATATATATATATATATATATATATATATATATATATATATATATATATTGGTCGGGTAATATCGGCCACCGGACTTTTCAACAAATTATAAACTATACCCGACCCAACTATACATGGTTAAAATTATCAATCCGACCAAAGCGAGTCAGTTGGTAAACAATTATCGACCAGAATAATCGGGCAGGTAATTGATCCATTGTCGGGTAAAACCGACCCATCAATAACCATACCTTTAAATCTTTAAGTGGTCCTCTAGTACACACATCCAAAGGAATTTATACCATTACATACTTTTTTATACTGCATTTTCACCCAACATTTTCGATAAAAGTTGAGAATATTTTTCATTTTTAATTTAAACAAAATTATGAGAAAATAATTTCATTCAAATATAAGGGTGAGCGAAAAAAACGAAACACAAACAAACAATCGAGAAACCAGGCCGTTTCGAACCATTCTAAATTGTAAAGTATTGGTACGACTTTTTATCTTTCTATCAATAAAATATTGGGCAAAGTACGACCACCTCTACGATGTAAGATCAAATTATAAACATCCATCGATTATGTAATGCCTTATATGTGCATCTTTGCAGTGTCAAATTTACCTACTGATTGAGGATTTTTTTTTGTAAGACGATAAATAGTTGAGGGTAGGGGTGGTAAACGAGCCGAGCTGACTCGTGAGCTCGATGAGCCGGCTCGAAAAAAGCGCGGACTCGAGTTTTTCGTGCTCGAGCTCGTTTTTAATTGTTCGTGAACTCACGGGCCGGCTCGCAAGTCTTATTTATTATTTTTTATATATTATTTTTTATTTAAATAATGTATAATAATATAAAATATTATAGAAATAAATAAAAATAAAATATAAATATTAAAAAATATATATAATAAATATTGTTTATTTTATAATTTTTTAATAATAATTAAATAATAATTAAAAAATATTTAAAAAAAAACACAACAAAATGAGCTTGGGCTCGAGCTCGACAAAATGGACACGAGCTCGAGCTCGAGCTAAAAAAAGAAGGAACTCGATGAGCTCGATCTCGAGCTCGACACAATAGACTCGAGCTCTAGCTCGAGCCTGCCAAAAGAGGCGAGCTCGTCTCATTCACATTTCACACCCCTATTTGAGGGGTGGTTGTAATTAGCAAAACAAAAAAGAATGTATTGTAATTTAACATTAACTCAGAGGGCGACTGCAATTACCATTATAAAACTATATGGTGTGTTACACTTTCACCAATTGTAGGTTCTACCTAGTTGGATAAACGACCTAAAGGTTCCCAATAACATGGGATCCCAAGACTCATTCATGATCTAAGATATTGTGTCACCCTATATATTCTAATGAATATTAAAATTATAAGCTAATATTAAACAAAAAAAAAAATGGAAAGATTTCATTATTAAATAATAGGACAAATCACAAATATTTCATAGACATTTTAAAATTTATTTAACCTCCTGTAGAGTAAGATACGGTATCATGTGTTTGGTTGGATTGCAAAAGTGTTTAAAATCTTTTGATTTGTTTGTTTCTACTTTTTCCCTCTTTTATGCATTTGAGCCCCACAGGGGAACTAATAATTCAATATTTATCTAAATTATTTATGGGATAACCTAAAAATTAAAAAAAAAAAATAGTCCCTTGGGATTTTTAATTTCGTCACTAAAGAATATATATATATATATATATATATATATATATATATATATATATATATATATATATATATATATATATATATATATATATATATATTTTTCATCGGAAAAAAGTAATGCCAATTTTGTTTTTTTTTTATATATATTTATAAAAGAAATAAAGTGATAGAGGGAGCGTGCGAATGAGGGGGCGGGGCGGACTCACGGATTTATACTACAAAAAAAAAATTTAAAAAATTATGTTATTCCATCGCTCTCACTGTTAATTATATGTAGTTATATCACACTCCCCCCCAAAATTTTTTTTTTTTCAAAAAATATTTTTTTTTTAAAATGTCCATATTCCCACGCAGACCTTTTTTTTTTTTT